TATGTCATTTGAAACCACACTTGTAAATTGGGAGAATTGCCTAATGGCATATTATTACAGAAGATTAAGACATTGTCTTGCCCATTATTTAATTAGGAAAACCAAGAATGCAGTATTTGGACATTCAAATACTTAGTTCTTTCTAGACATACCCACTGCGATCAGCTTTTATAGCTAAGAGAGCTTAGAAACTGAGAATTAACCTGACAGAGTGAAGAAAGGAGGTTAGATTTATGTGTCAAATACACAGTATGCAGTGTTCTGCAAATGCTTCATTTTTATAAGATGGTATTCTGAAGAAAGAAATAGTTAAAAAGAAAAGAGTTATGGCTGTGAGTCAAAGAAGGTATTTACATCATCCCAGCGTCCCTGTGGAATGCTCTCATCTTTGGTACTCTGTTGTGATAGCAGTGAGGTAGCTGTGGGTCTTTAATAAAACAATCCATTATCCAACTCTCAATCTTTTCTCATTTCTTTTGTTTTTGTTTTTGATGATAAGGGTGAGAAGCAAAAAACCATGGGTGTGAGAATTCAAATTCTCATTATTTTCCTGAGCACCTCAGAGAGATTTTCAAGGCAGTCTGCACTTTTTTGAAGTGGCTAACTTTTACTTTTGACAGAACTTTTAGGGAAGATAACAAAGCTTCATGACACCTTAAACCAGCTGAAATATTTCCAGGTACCAGAGCCAAAAAATGTTATCCTGAGTAACAAATGAAAGTGAGTGAAATGACGAGTAGCGGTGCAAAGGATGATTGTTAGCAACAGGAATTGATTTCAAGTGGGACTGGAGGAAAGAGAAGGATTCTCAGGAGGGTGGTCTGCAGTATGTTGGTGTTTAAATGGCAATGTGTAAAGCCTAAACCTTCACAGAGTCACCTTGGTTGGTTGTGAGTTTTCACACACTCATCCAAACAGGAGTAAAATGACTGTACTGAAAAAAAAAAAGTGTTTCTTACTGGGAACTCTCTTGAGGCTTGGTTGCAGCCCTTGAGAGTGTGGCGGATGGACGGGGCAGGACTTGGACTCCTGCCTGGCCAAGGCTTGGGGTGGTGAAGTGCTCTCTGAGGGCAGCCTAGATGACTCAGGAGGCTCAGCCCAGTGTGTACCTCGGGTGACAACCTTGATGCATGCAACCGACACAGAAACCTGACAGCTCTGGGACTAGTGATTGATGCAGTTTTGTTTTGTTCTTTTTTTACTTTTCTTTTTTGGGCAGCCCCCCCTCCCCCTTCCTTCTAAATTGTTTTCTCAGCTTGTTTGAGTCTCAAAGACTCTCTCCTGCTTGTCTTGAACAGCTGGAATGGCTCTGGACTGAATGAACAGACACAGAGAAAGACTGGGCTGGACCCTGGGAGGATCTCAACCTCCGGGAGACGCAACCTGGCTGTCTAACCTGCAATGCTGGAATCTGGGGAGACTTAACACCACGGCAGATGGCTGCCTGCAGCCTGACACTGGGACTGTGGCTAGTGCTGCTTCTCCAGGATACCCAGACAGCCCCTCAGGTAAGTCAGCAAGGCATCAAGATTCTGCAGCCCCTCAGGACTCAGGAACCTGGAGAAGTCTGGGGGCACCCTGGGCTGCAGGGCTATTCTGCCCATAGACTGGGTGCTGGGTAGCAGGCATCCACAGAAACAGGCATTGTGCAACGCAGGGTGATAAAGGCATAAAGCAGAGCAGGCAGGAGAGTTTGCGCTCTCTGGGAACTTTGCAGACAGGAGCAGGGGACACGAGCTAAGATCTGCATCTCTTTGTTGGCATTGCTAGTGTTACTGTACCTCCAGGCGCATCACAGCTTGGGAATGGGGAAAGATTTGATAGGGGTGGGGGACTGTTCTCGTTTGTTTGGGTGAGTGGCTTTTATTTTTGCCTTGATGGCCAGGTGTTCTGCAGAGCTTGGCTCAGAGCAGTTCTGCTCACTCTGCTGATGTGAGTCAGGGCTGGCAGACTGAAAGATGTAAAGGCAAACAAAACAATAAAATACCTTCCTCTTTACAACCACCCACCCCTCTCACACTGACTTCCTCATGAATGGGCTATTATTTCTGTGTCAAATTGACTTAAAATAGACATAGCCCACTAGTTGCACTCAGCTGATGCTGCAGATGCAAGCTAGCTCTCTGCTCAGATCATATCATCTCTTGTGGGTTTGCTTGCCCTCACCCCTCCGCCACTTACCCCTCCTCTGTAGTGGATTGCATGGCAACGAACCCTCAGCACCTGGCATAAATCCAGGTGATTTCCCTGGCTGACGCGTCTGCGCATACACACAGAAAAGATCAGTTGCAGAGGCTCTTTGCACAGGTAAAGTCAAGTAGGTGAGTAGTTGCACACTGTGTTGGATCCTGAAATTGGCCATTTTCCCTTGCCGTGGAAATATGAGCACGCATTAGCCCAAGACAACTGTCTGTGCATAGTAACTGAATGATATGGCACATCATTTGGGCTGTCAGGAGATTTTTTTACAAGAAACTGACTCCAATTAGAACTTTGAAAATAACCAAGTCCTGCATCCTCTTCATAGACGTTACAAAAGATCCTCCTGGCTCTTTTGTTAAGAGTAGGAGTTTGCGCTTGTGTCTTTACTTGTAAATTCCCCTCCCACATTGCAAGTTTGCTCTACTTTGCCCTGGTTTTCTGTCCCGCCACTGTTTCCTTCCTGAAATATAGAAGGATCACTGTTCTTCTATACGATTGGAGTCTGTACTCACCTGAGGAATACTTAGGAGGGCATTCAGATAAGCTTGTCCAGTCTGCTGAATGCAAACTGCTTTAGGAGAAGGGCAATAGAAAAAAAAAGATGGTATTTTTGCTATTTGACGTCACTTTTGGTGTTTTGTTCACAAAAGGAAAGGGGCAGAGAGAAAACTGGATTTTCTGATACTCATTGTCAATGTTCAGACTTTCAGCAAAATCATCATTTAGCTGGAATAAATATGTAGCTCTTCCTGGGATAAGCAACTGGCTTTTCAGTGTCTTTCTGAATTGCCTCTGTCAAAGCAACATTTGCTTTTACTGCTGCTGGAGTACAAGTGATACTGTTTAATGTGAGCAAGTCCCAGATTATTGGTCATATTTTAAACCATATTCCACCTCACTTGAGTCCACAGTTTGGGTTTTGTTTAACTCGCATTTGTTAATAATGTTTTTACTATCAAGCAAATGAATCTTGACTGCTTGAAGTCTTCTTTTGTGCTGTCAGAATTTGGATAGAAGCTTGAAAGGGAGTCAACTGTTTTGTTACAGTGTTAGTCAGTTCTAGAATAGCCAATGCTGGTAGAAGATTTTTTTTTTACCGTAATATGCTTTCTTCCTGACTTACAGCTCATTTATAGCAATCTGATTTCTTACTCTGCCTCACCATCACTTTTTCTCTATGAGCTCAAAAGACCATGAATAAATGAGTCAAACCTTGTCCTGAGTGAATTGCAGAGTAGCCCACTGAATTCATCACCATCTTTACAATTGCCATTATTTAAACTGGAATAGCAAATGTGTTTGTAGATATAAGGAAGTGAGAAGAGCTACAAAAAGCCTATTTTCTAAAACAAATTCTCAAAAGCAAGCACTGAAAACCCCAAATGCCGTGTATCAAATATGTTTGCTTTATTTAATTTGGCCTTAATCTGCAATACTTCAAAAAAAAAAAGAACTGGTTGGCCTGATAGGTCAATGAAAGCACTAAGCCAAGGGATCACTGGCCATTCTGTTACAGAGCAGTCCAAACAGGATATGAATTGTGGTCTTTTCTTTCACAATGAGTATACCAGCTCCTGCTAAATGAAAAACCTTTATCTGAAGACCATGCAGGAAAAGATTAGTGAAATTCAGTCTCTGTCGCCCTCCAGTTGAACAGTACCCTGAATCCAATTTAAGAATTCCTTGTATTAGAGCAAAACCAGATGCAAATTACTAGTCTTATACAGACTCATGGCTTGTTCAGATTTGTTCAAAAAATGTGGACAGATTAACTTTGTAGTGGCAGGCTTTCTGCTACAGTGGTGATTGTTTACTACACCAGCTTACCTTCCTGTTAGTTTAAATATTTATCTATTCCTCTGCAGCTCGCATAAAGCAGCATTAACTCTGCATTGTGTCCTTGTGTCCAATCCAGATCAAATCAATTCTGATATAGTATACAGATGCAGAAATAATGCCTGTGAGGTTTCCTGTTACAGCTGTGCACATCAGCAGAGACCTGTCGCACGATGGGGAGGCCCTGCTCCTGGCTACACAGTGCCACTGACTTTCTTGCATTGAATTTAGTGCAAATGGCTGCAGCCACAGAGTGAGTTGTTTCAGTGCAGTGACCTGCTGAAAACCAACTTCACAGATTCAGAAAGCAGAGTTTTCAGTCAAATGAACTCCTAGAACTGATTCATCCTCTGGAAACACATTCGCTCTCTCTTAAGTAATCAGGGAGTTGGAGAGGAAGGAAAATGTGGGTACAGGCGAGAGAGGGGAAGTGAAGTTGCACCCTTGGATGACAGAGAGCCACAGGATGAGCATAGTTGTAATAGACACATATTCCCACTTTGCTAATCCATTCGTAGTACAGACCCATCCATTCAGAGTTTCATCAGAATCAGAGGGAAGGACAAAGACCTACTGTCTGCTACAGCTGGAGTCCTCACCGCTATCCACCAATACTTCTGTGATCTTCCTTGATTTTTAAAGGGGTTTTTTATAATACATATTAATGAACAGAACTGTAAGTACTAATGGATGATAGTCAATGTCATTGGCATGAAATTGGTATTCCTTCATTAAGACTGGATCATCTTTTGGAGAGGTGACAGGGAAATGTACAACGTCTCCTTCTGTTTTCTTCAGGAAACACTAGGAAATGGTGCCTTAAGAAGTGAAATTGCACTAGAATTTTGAATTTCCCTGGCAGAACCTGAGTTCTGTTTCTGTCAGTCTTGAGATTCAGACAAGAGTAGATAAGGAGGGACAGTAAAAAGATGAAAGACAAAAATACTTTGAATGTTAATTAAGCAGGATTTTGAGGTTTCATTCTGTTCCTTGCAGAGATGAGGAGAGTTTGTTCTGTAAAACTTACCGGAGATTTCCTTGATGAAGAAAAGCCACATGCTAGTTGCTACTGAGTATGGATTATACCACACTCTTCAGTGTTTCTAGGCATTTCAGGGAGAAGAGAAGGGAATGGGGCAGAAGTGAAAGTTCTTACACACAAATCCTTCCCTACAAAATAAATAGTAAGGGGGGAAATGAAGAGGTGAATCTTCTCTCACTGGCTAACTGACAATTTCTGTAAGCATACTGGAGCCAGGAGAAATGGTCAACAACTGTAAATGGAGAATTTTGTAGCACTTTCTTTCTGTGGGCTTCTACACACAGGCACTGTGGAATCAAGAAGGTGAGCCCCCCACCCCAGCACTCACAGCTAATGCATTTTTATAAGAAGGTGATAGTGTTGAGGTTTTGTAATGCGAGGCTGAAATTTTTTTCTGTCTCCTTTGCTTTATCCCTTCCTTTAATTTCAAGAGCTATTTGTGAGCAATTAGGACCTGCTAAGTCAAATCTTAACCTTCAGATTCTGCCTAAGAGTCTTAATTTAAATAAACTGATTTTGCTCTGGAAAAATGAGTTTTATTAGTGATATTCACACAATCCTGAGTCAAAGTAATTAAGTTCATTTTTTTTCTGAGACAGGGTGAAATTTCCACTGTCATCCTAGAACGTATTAAAAAAGATTCTTTGATGAAAGTTCATATGAACAAATGGGATAATAGTCCAAGGCAGAAGACTTTCACTATTTTGTAGTTAAACTTTATGATGTGTCTTATTCAATATTTTATAATGCTTGGTTTTGTTGAAGCACTCACAACTGGAAATATATTAGGAACATCTTAATGCTGAGATTTTTGTTGGCAATGAGAGCAGTAAGAGCACGTATGCTTTTCCTTCCTGCTGTGTTCTTGAGCCCTTATATGATAAAGTACAACTTTTTACATTATTTTTTCCCTTTTCTCCTCACTGCCCTTGTGATTCCCTCCCTTCTTTTAGGTAATCCCTTTTCTGATTAAGACTTGACAAGAGGGACATTTTCTTTAAAAGCTTCCACTGTTGGCTACTATCATCTTGGTCACAATACCGGAAACCCAGCATGTAGCAGGCTCCCACAGTTGCGGCCGTTGGTAACGCAGCTCAAAACAGGTCTATGCAGCTCAAAACAGTATGTTTCTCTGCTGGGGAGATCGGTGCTGCTACTGGTGGTGGGAATTTTTCTCAGAATTTCCCTCGCTGAAACAGGATCATTCTGTGCTGTCACCAGATTCCTTTGTAGTCACAGTGTTAGAAGACAAGTAGTTTTTCCCCTGCCTGTTTTGATTACAAACAGCATGTGATGTCCTCCTGAGCAAACTGCTTACCCAAGTTTTTGAGTGGAAAGATGCTTTTATGTTTCACTGGAAAAGCTAGAGAGAACGTAAACTACAAGTTCTGCTGTAGCAGACTGACCTATCCTGGTAGCAGTTGTCCTCCCCTTAGCAATTGAACTGCGAGTGTTGGCAGGATAAGAAGTGTTTACAGCACCATTGGTGACAGCTGGGACAAGATTTGGTAAAAGAAAGCAAATGTAAAGTTGAGGACCCAGTGGGGCTGGAGGAACAATATGTCCTATATGCCCTTACAGAGCCAATCTTGGGTTCCCTGGTGCTATAGCCGCAAAAGTACCCATAATTGTAGATGGACATTGGACTCAGTACACCAAGGACTTTAAAGTAACACATCTGAGGCTGAGCAATGATAGAGGCAGGAACAGAGCCACCAGCCTTGAACATTAAGCTACAGGGCCTTCTCCTGCCCTCAGACTTGTGGTGGCCTCGCTGTCATGTTGCTGTGGATTTATACAGGGTTGAGCCTGGAGGTCCAAGCTGAGTATGGGACTAGTCAAACAGGAGCTCACCCAAGTCATTTTGATGTTTACCAGGTGAGGATTAGAAATCCAGTTTGCGTTCTAGCTGCTGTTTGTAGTAGGAGTATCACTATGTAGAAATGGTAAATTGCCATTGAAAATAGACAAGTCAGCTCAACAACCTTAATTTCTGAGAATTTATGCACATATGTTGCTTCCATAGTTCTGTGGAAATCTAATGCTTTTTTTGGCCAAGCCCCTAAAATATTTTTCACTTTTTAACAGTATTGGTTAATCAGCATTTAAGTATTTCGTAACTCCAGCACTCAGTCGTCATTCTGTCCAGGAACAGCAAGACAAATATGCATTAAGTATTTTGCAGCCTCTCCAAATCTGGGTAGATTTGATGGTTGATGTCTAGATTTCTGCCATTAAAAAGGAATAGTCAACAGCTGAGAAACAAAAAAACACAAACACTTCAATCCTATCACTTGGAGTCGTCTTACACACAGAGATCTAAGATGATGGTCAAATCAAGACAATGCATGAGGTAGCTTTCCAGAAGCACTGAGTGTTGAGAGGAGTGGGACTGGAAAATTTGTAATCTAGAATTCCGTGTGTTTCTTGGTGAATTGCTCCCAGTGATCTCTTTGTATTTAGAAATCCTGAGGTCATCAAAATAAAGTCACACAAGCCAATATTTTATCGCAAACTTGTGCCCTAATTTCTCTAATTGTAGATGAGATGTTGGAGGTGGTATTTCACATGTGGGAAGAGCAGTTACAGGTGGTGAAACTGAGGTAATTCACATGTTCAGTCACTGACTGGGTAAATTACCTCAATTCAGGCCTATTGCTACCCACTAATAATGCACATTTTTGTTCCCTTTTCGTTTCATATCTTTAGTCGGTTATCTTTTGTTTTAGTTAAGTTATTACTCTGATATTCATTATGCAGACAGAAAAATGAAAATTACATTGTCCTTGTATGGCTGACTTCCCTTCACCCTTTTCCCAAAAGTAACCAGCAAATTAGTTGGCCCTGCATTTTATGGAAGACTTAAAACACTTTGAGACTTTGGCTCTTCACCTCTGCCATTTCTTCAAGCCATCTTCTTTGCTTTTGGGCACCAATTTGTTTCACTCCCAAAAAAACTCGTGGAAGTTTTGGTGGGTTCTTAGTGCAAGATTTTTTATTCCAGATGCATGAGAACTTGAAATTTAGCTTACAAAATGCCTTCCATAAGTTAAGAAGCAGAGCCCATATAATTTTTAGTGACACTTGCGTTTCCACACTACCAGTTTTGCTTATGTAATTTATTTTGAGCTTTTAAGCCTGAAGTGCTAGAGGTATGGGCACTTGAATTATACTCAGGTCCTTACCTTGAAGTATGCTGTCTACAAAGGGCCAACCTTTCTGCTTAGTTTAAGAGCAGAACTTTGCATCATTGCAGTCCTATTACAGGTCACAGTAGGAATCAAACAGTTTTAGAATTTAGAGGAAAAAAAATTAGAATGGGGAGATGATGACTGTTACTGAGCATTGATATGTTACATTATTTGTCACTGAAAGGATGCGTAGTAAGGTTTGTACTCATGAAACACCTCAACTGGACAGATGGCAACTCTTAAGACATTTTGCAGGTAGCTACGGATTAGAAGTAGAGTGGTCTTCAAAATACATTTTCTCAGACATAGAAGTTGTGTCACGATTTGTTAAAAATTACTTCTTTTTACAGCAGAGCACCTTGGGCTTGGCTCAGTGAAGAGTAAGGGTGGCTGCAAGGCTGCGTTTGTAACTGGATACTTGAAAGCAGCATTTGTTGTGAAGCTGTGGAAGTTATTTATTATGTAGCTGGCTGTAGTATATAGCTGCCCTCTTGTGGAAAGGAATAAAAGTTGAGTTCTCTCATATGTATATTTTCATAATTTGTGTAGTATTTATGCATAGTTCATGCAGTAATTTATCACAGCACTGGCATCAGGTCAAATTCATAATGAGAATTTGCATTGCTGTAACTAAGAGCAGAATCTAATCCTAAACTCGTAATTTCAGTATTTTAGACAAGGTAACTTTTTAAAAAGCAGCCCTTCCCTCACGCTTTTACATAGACACTATTCCTTTACTTAAACCCCAGAAGAGACAATTAAATAAGCTGTAAGCTTATGTGCTGCATATATCATTCAAGAGTTTATATTCAACATCATTTGCAGCCAGAGTTGGTTGCCAAGGAGAACCAAGAAGAGAAGATCAGGCATTTGTGGTGACTTCCCATAGTTCTTATGGGTAAACTAATCCAGGAGGATTTAGCTACAGCCAGAGTGCTGCAGTTTCTTAAATTTTCATTGTAAAACTAGTTAATTCATTTCATATCACTGCAGTGACTCCTGAATGACCCTTTGTCTAGTACCAGTACTGGTCTCGGTGTGTCATTTCCTGTTGTTTGGTTTAGTTGCCGAGTGGCGGGCTAACCGAGGTGCTTCTCCACGCGGATGCAAGGAGATTCCACTTCCTTTTCCTACAGTCTAGGGCTTCCTCTTCAGAAAAGAAAAATACGTGTGCACATTTGTAAACTTGATTTGAGTCAGGCTGAGCAAGCAGACATCTGCTATTTCCCCTCTACAGTAAGCTAAAAAAATGCTCTGTAGGGAGGCTGTGTGGCCCAGTGGTTAGTGCAGAAATGTGTCAGGCAGGATTTCTCAGTTCTGTTACTGGAGCTCGATGAAATTTCATGGTTTCAGTATGTTTCTGTTTCTTGTCCTTTTGTTAATTTCTTCATTGACTGAAAGTTCCTGATTTCTAATGTAACCTGGGGCAAGTTAAATAACTTCTGTGTTTTATGGTCCTGCTGTGAAAAGAACAGCGTGTTAAATAGTAGGGTATGGCTGTGAAATTAGTTAGGTAGTAAGATTCTGCGCTGCATACAAAGGCAGTTGTTACTTCAAAGGACAATGGGAAATTCATCTGCAGAAAGTGAGATGAAGGTTTTCTGTATTATTTAGCTGCTTTACCAGTATCATGTGGGAAAATCTCTGGGGAATCTGCTGATTGAGTCTTTACAGAAAAATTGCCTTTTATACCTTCTAGCAAATACTGAAAATGAAATTCAGATAACAACATTTCAGGGGATTACTAAGGGAGATGCCAAATTAAAAAATCAGATCTTCTCATCCGAAAACTTGTTGCACTGTAATTTCCCAGAGCATGTAGTGGCACTGCCATACAAAAATGAAGTCATATTATATGCTTCTTGCTACAATTCATAGCTGAGTCTCATTTTCTAAGCTAATACTAGAACTATCATGTGGCGTTTTTTTAACTAAAGAAGTATCAGTTACGTAGTCAAACCAAAGGTTGTTACTGAAAACCTTCACTCACAACAGAAGTGGGGTTATTTGAATAAGGGCTTCCTTGTGTGAGTGTTTGCAGCCTTCCTTTCAAGGCAAAGGCAAGCTCTTGTTCTCAGTGTAGGATTTGTCCCTAAATGGTAAGTAAAGCAATTTATTGGTTTATAATAAACACATCTTTAGGTCGCTAAATTCAAGCATTATGACTGCATAAATGACTGAACAGAAAGACTTGTTTGCTGCAAACAAGAATTATCTGTGTGGATTACAGTTTATCTACCTAGATTTAGATGATGCTGGCTGTGACACCACCTCTTATTCCAGTGCACACAGAGCTGGAAATCTGTTGCAGATGTTAGGGATTTTTTTTTATTTATTTTTTAAAAAATCCACATCTCAAATTAACATGGGATCATTTCAGGACAGCTATTTCTAGAGGAGACGCAGACTAACGAACTTTTCTTAGTGATCTTGGTGATCCTGCAGCTAGGTTTCAAAGGGTGTTTGGAGCATTATCTGAAAAACATTTTTGTAGGGCAATGCCATTACCCTTTTTATTGTATAAAAGAAGGGGTTAGTTTCTGAGCACTGAAATGCTTAATACGCAGGTTGGGCTACAGTATTCCATTCCAATATTTAAATGACTTACAGAGAAAAGAGCCTGCTGAGTGAAGATACATATTGAATTGTTGCTAAATACACTGAATATTGCAGTATTTGCTTAAGCATATGGGCAACAGTAATTTAGTGGCATTGGAGATACTTGAACTTTCAAAAAACTGTAGGCTTTTCCTTACTGTCTGCAACTACTATCACTTGAGACAGGTACCAGCATCAGCTCTAATACAGAACTAATTGCTTTCTAAGTGTGTCTTTTGTCTGTTTCAATTTCTAGACATCACTAACCCCATCTCATTCCTGTGATACACTTGAGAATGGGTTCTATGATGAAACTTCACGAAGCTGCTGTTACCAGTGTCCCTCAGGTCAGTATGTTTATCATTCAATCAAATGAACATGGAGCCTTTCTTGTAGAGATAGTAGGAACCATGTATATCTGCAGAATTGCATTTTATCCCTGAAGTGAATCACTATCTAGTGTGGATCCATATATGAACTTGCTTTCCACTGCCCTGCTCCTGTTCAGTCTGCATGCAAATAATCTGTAAATTGCAAATAAGAAAACTTGCTAGAATTTTTAGTGTGTTTTTTATTGGTTGACTTGACACTCTGAAATAGCTAGAAGTAGGCAGGTCTAAGAATTCATTTCAACTTGCCTTAGGGTGTGAAATAATGCAATGAAATTAGGCTAAATATGTTTCTGATCAAAGACAAAAAGGTGTGGAAAATCTGTCATTATCCTCGTAGTCACAACGGTTTAGAAAGTGTCTCACATGAGAATGGGAACAGCCCTTTGTCAGGGGACACAGCGAGCTTTGCCGGAAGCTGGTCCTGACCGAGAAGCACATGAGGTCAGGAGCAGGAAACACCTTGGTGAGACAGGAGTTCTGGAAATGTCTGAAACCCCCCCGCTGGCCAAAAAAACCCCTCTGTGGGTGAGTGGGTGGGGCATTTTATGGTACTTCGCCATCATCAATCTCTTATAGAAGTGTTTTCGTTTTCTTTTTTTGTGTTTTTAAAAGGAAATTTTTGACATTTATTTGAGGTCTAATAATAAAGAGGGGGTTAGTGCGTGGTTGCTAGCATTTGTATGCAGTTACATCGGGGTTCCCACTGGGACATTGTGTACTGCTGGCCACACCACTAGAATTGTTCGAAAGTTGTGTAAGTAAGCAAGATGAAAGGATGGAGAAACTGGTCCCTTAAAAGAAGAAAAGGGGCAGGGATCTGATTCTGAGCCAGTCACAAGAAAAGCTCTTTTCTCTGTCAAAACCATACTGTGCAAAAGCTCCCATAATGGCAGTCATAATGCAGTCTTGTGAAAAGCAGAGACCTGATTTGCATCTGGCTGTAATGAGCCACCAGTCTCAATCATTTCACCTCTGCTTATTCCTGAAACTCATTTCGTTGCCACATCCTCACGTCAGTCTTGGACATCACATCCTCCAGAGCCTCTTTCACAACAGAAGCTGGTAGGAATGCTATTTCATTTTAATCTTCTGCTACTCCTTCAAGCAAAAATCTGTTCATATCTGCTACTAACATAACTGCTCACTGCAAAAGAAAGAGAAGCTATTCTAAAATTCAGTTTAATTAAAGTGGAGCATCTCGAACTCTTGATGCAGCCTGGCTTTACCTTCCTTGGTGTTCCAGCCCACAGATGTACAGCTTTCAGTCTGAGCACACTGGCTGACATACAAGCCATCCTCTGTTTCAAAGTGAATTTCACATTCAATTTCAAGATAAACTTCAAATCAAACCTCAAAAGATCATTCTAATCAATTTCTGCAGTTGCCACATCTCTTCTCATGTACTTAATTCTTGCGCAGGTAAAATGAGACTTCATACCTGGGATACCAGAAGAATATTTTCTTTCTGTCATCACAGAACAAAGTATTTCCCTCCTGTCAAGTGGAGGAACAGAGACTTTCATGGGAATTAGTGGTATAAGCTAGAACAGCTCATGTTATTCACAAGTTGGTATTCCACTTCACTTCTGTTTATTTTGTTTATGTGGTTTTTTGCATTTTTTGTTTGGTTGGGGTTTTGTTTTGTTTTGGTTTTTTTTTTTAGACTCTAAATCGGATATCGAGCTCCACAAGATAGTGCTGCAGTCAACACTCAAGACTATTTCCCACCTGGAGTTAACAGCAAATCCTCAGGACTGAATGAATGCACATACTCACAAAAGAAAGACACTTAAAACACTTATTAAATATACTTACTTTCGGTACATTTTTCTGTATGAGTGATTGCAGCTTATATTCCTACTGCTCAGGCTTTTATCTAGTTGTTGAGCTATGAACACAATCAGTGGAGAAGAGCAGAAAACACTGTTAGACAGGCTTGAAAGCTACTGCACCTGGGACACACATCCCCCAAGGGAGGGAGGGACCCAGGTGTACAGGAAATCGCAGATAACTGAAGTTAAAGCTTTTGGGTGTTGGGGGAGGAAGCAGAAAATGACACACATGTGCAGGTACTCATGTGTTCAGCTTGAATCCTGAGATTCAGCAGTCAGCCCCCACCTTGAAAAGAGTAGTCTCATACAAGTAGCTTTGAGGACGTGGGAGTGGTGTGGTTCAGGCTTGTCTGGTGGTATTTAGTGGGCCAAATACAGCACAGCTGGTTTTACCTGCATTCCTACTTCATGCTTGCCAAAATGCATAGTAGGTGAGTTATTTCCCTACCAGGTTCCCCCTCCCTGTGGTTAACTCTTTGTGACTGGGTGATGCAGGCTGGATGCTGAAACTGAGATTCATTTCTCTCCATTCTCCACCTGTGAAGCATTCAACTCTGCCTATCTTTACATTGCTGCTTTAGCTTGTCCTTTTGCTTCTGTGACTGCTGCCGTTCCTTACCCTCTGGTAGTTATTTCCACCTCCTGGCAAGGCCACAAGGTCACAGCTGACCACTGTGCCTTCTAATTTCTTTGACGTGATGACCAGTAGTAGAATACCTCATCAGTTGCTTCAGGGGCTGAAGCATTAGGAATGTTGCTGTCCCAGCCTTTCTCATACTCCTAGCTGGTTATTGTACCTAGCTTGCCAGACAGATGCTTTTAAAAGCTAGTCACTAGAAAATGATTACCAGACATAAACAAGGAGTCATAGAATAGCTCAAGTTTGGCAAAGACCTCTGGAGGTTATCTAATTCAGCCAGCTGCTCAACTTCATGCACGCTGCATATACACAGAAGGGCTGTGAGATCCAGGGTAGTGTGCTTGCAAACTGTGAGCAGTGAGTCCAGATGAGTTGGAAGTGTTGAGCGGAGAAAGTGTATGGCATATACTTCCAGCATCAGAAAGATGTACATATCTGATTTGATTTGTTTAAAGGAAAGCAACTGGAAGATTAAACTATCTCACAATTGTCAAGGCAACTGTAAAACTAGCAGGACTGCTCAGAAAGCAATGTACTGCAAACCTGCTAGGGGTATATAGGGCACAGCTGAAGAAGTGCCATCTTGTAACCTCTCATTGTGAACACGAGAGGTGGGATTGTCCCTGCATGAATCCATGTGCACCTAGACAATTCTGGCAGCTTTTGAAAGGAAAAGTTATGCCTTAGGTAGGAAAATGTCAGGACTTGGTTACTATAGTCAAGAATTAAAAATGAAAAACAATTGCCTGGGAACTTAGTAATGGCAGGACGATACTGCCCTCACTCCAGACTTGGTAGTCTTTTCTAACTGTCAGCAAATGACTTGCCATGTGCCCATTCTGTAGCAATCTGTACTGTGATAATACCATGCGTAGGGCTGCTGAAACAGGAGAGTGTTGCGACGTTTCTGTGGTGAAGATGGACAAAGCATACGCATACAATATGAATGCTGCTAATGTCGAACTTTATTCATAGATTCAGTTCCTTATATACTAATTTTAAGATTATCTCATTGGAACATGTAATTTTCTAGTGACAGCTACAGATTATACCTGATATTTATGGTGACAGCTACTGATTATACTTGATATTTATTTTTTCATTAGTACAGGACATAACTTCCTCACATCAACATCTTCATTTGCCAATTGCATTTCTTGGCAGATCATCTAGTCCCATTTCCTTATGAGCCTTTGCTTCCGTTCTTGTTTACTTCTTTCTGTACTTTTCCTTGGTCCTTGATTCTTCCATCAAGGCATCCTTTGATCACTGACTTTGGTCAAACAAGGCCTACAAGCCTTGCTCCACAGCAGCGAACCTCACAGGAGAGCTGTGATCCCTTCAGACTTGAATGGAGAGGCCAAAATGTGCTAGAGAAACCAAATGACAGATACAAAGAGAAGACTGCGGTAGTGTGCCTAACCAGTAAATGAGCGTACAAGAACACTTCAGGGTGGTTGTCTCCTGTGATTCTGAACAGGTATCCTGCATATTTTGTTTTTCTTTCTCCAGGCTATGTTAAAAAGAGAGCATGTCCTAGGGACGTAGATGAAGACTGCATGAGATGTGGACCTGAACAATATGTGAATGAAGCATTGCAAAAGCCACAATGTGACGCTTGTGTGTCATGTGCAAAAGGTTTGCTTTCCCGCATGCATACCGCATGGTTATATTCTCTCTATATCTTTTATTTACACTTTATTTATATTTTATTCATTTAGAATTTCCAGCAGCAAAGATACCTATCCTTGGTTACTGATTTAGAGAGCAGAATGCTACCTTGCATGTAATCAGTATTGCTTCCTGTGTGACCTGGGACTACCTAAAAATTCTCACATCCAATGCTATCCAAGTCTGATTTCTGCTTTCTGTCGTATATTAGAAACCATTGTCTACAGGCTTTTCCAATGACTCATGACTTAAGTTGCCACTGCGAAGAGTGCCAGCAGCCTGTTCTGCTTCCTCAGCTTTTGAACTGATGTTGCTCAGCTTTGGCCCTGCCTTTGCGTTTTCTGAGCAGGGTTATCCTTTGTTACTGCATCTGTTTCTTCCCCACAGAATCTGACCTTGTGGAGAAAGAGCCCTGTTCCTTCAATTCTAGCCGTGTGTGTGAGTGCCGCCCAGGCCTGTTCTGTCAAACCCCTGTTCAGAACACCTGCATGCGATGCCAGAAGCACACTGTTTGCAAGCCTGGTTTTGGAGTCAAAGTCAGAGGTAGGAATTGGTACCTGCCTAGCTTACTTTTCCTGACCTTGGCCATAGGCCTGGACCTGATGCATTTGGTTGGTCGGTCCTCAGTCATTATTTTTATTCAGGCACCTCAACAAATGATGTTACTTGTGAACAGTGCCCTTCCGGGACTTTCTCTGATCAAAACTCCAGCACCGACATCTGCAAGCCCCACACGAAGTAAGTCCATGGTTCTTAAAAGTGACAAACTAATTAATTAAAGTTAATAAAGGACGAAAAGGGACACCTGTCACTTCTGGTGCAAAGTACACAAATTTATCTTAGAGGCAATGGGGTAGCTTTGGGCCTATGTGCAGAATTTAGAAGGCCTCTCTTTATACCTGTTGCACAGCTCTGTACTGGAGGAAGGAATCCCTCTTGCCTTGTTTTTAGTTTACTGAGTACAGTGGAATTATACATGCGTGTTGAGTATCCGGTTTGCATGCAGGTCAAGAATTAATGCCACAGGGGTGAGAAGAAGGTTAATGACTGTTTCACTGAAAGCAATAAATGCAGGTGGTACAAAAATGACCAAAGGGGTGTTTGTCACATGGAAAATGCTCTTATCTTCTGCCATGGCAGTTTCTGCTAGCACTGATACACTGTTCCCTTTCACTCCATAGCTGTGGTGAGTTAAACAAAGTAGTGCTAAGCAAAGGAAATGCGACACACGATCAGGTTTGCCTGGACCGATTGCCCACCTACCTCACCCCAAGCACTTTGTCCATGGGATTCAGCAATGAAACAAGTAACTCTGACCTAAGAAGGTTTGAGGAGAACCTGGTGACCATTGCTAGTGTGCTTTTAAGTGCCACAACAACTGAAAACCCCAGTTCAACTCCTGAGGAGAAAGCTCCGGCTGGCACTTTTCCCACCTCAGCCAAGGGGGAGACAACAACGGCAGGTAACAAAGATAAAGCATTTATGCTGTCTAGTGTGTTTTATTTGGATATATCTTTGGTAAATGCAATTTTGCTGTGTGAGCTTCCTGAAAATAGCCTACGACTTGTGAAATTATGTCTATAGATCTATGTCCAAACACATACATCTGCTAATAGTTCCCTCTCCGCCTTTTCTTAGTCTTTCGTGTGCTCCCTTTCCCTTTCTGTGCTATAGGTCTAGTTCTTTGGGGAGTGGTTCTCTCTGTGGTAGTGCTACTTGTGGGCATGCTGTTATTTTGGAAATGGAAGGTTTGCAAGAAGCGGATCCTCATCCTCAAAGGAAAGCGTGAGTTTTTAAGCTGTAATAAATATCATGCTGTTTGGTCTTCAAGTATATGCCAGCTGGGAACACAAATATCCCAAAATTTTGTGGAGGGCACTGGGGAAGAGAATGTTTACTACTGCCTTTTGAAGGAAGGCCAGATAAGGGTTCTAAGCAAACTGTTCACGCAGCGTGTTGGAGAACATGTGAGAAAGATTGAAGCAGCTGTGGATTTATGGAGGAAGATACTACAAGCTGGGTGGGGAAAGGGTAAGCAGTGGTTTCTGCTGTCAGCACAGACACTAATATTAGATGATACCTGAAATGTTTTGTGAGTATTTGTTGGTTCCTGTGATAGGGTTGGACTTTAAGTATGTGAGGAAGAGTGATTTTTACTGGTACGGACTCTGTAGCTTTGCCTTGGGTTACATGTGGGGTGTGCCTGCAGAACCACATTCCCTCTTTTATAGCAAGCGGGAGCTGCACGTTGTAGGCTGGTTGTAGACCTGTGGTTGTAGTAAAGCTGTTAGAGCCTGTATGCTCCATGATGAGTTCTGTTAAGTGAATGGTTTCTTTTATCAGCACATCTGCGTTCCATCACTTCACACAAATCTGGGCTCAGATCTCAAGGTGAGTGACTGATGGACCAGGAATTGTAATCCGTATGTCTAAGGAATAAGTGCATAGTTTTAGTATGGAACCTTATTTTATCGAATTCTAATTTAAAAGGCGGAGTTTTTCCATGCCAAACGCGTGTCTGCTGACATGCATAAGCCAACAGATGGCACTTGGTTCCCACGGCACCTGCGTGGCTGGGCCGGGGTCAGTGCAGGGAGCCTTTGCTGGAAAAACACCTGCTCAGTTTCTGGGACCACAAACGTGGGAGGCGTGTTCCAGAAAAAGTGAGTGTTAGCCATAGCAACCTGTACAGACCCCCTGGGGTACACACATTTTTCCCAATTAACTAATAGGAGACCTGACAGCAGTGTTCCAGTACCTGCAGGGGCCTACAAGAAAGCTGGAGAGGGACTTATGACAAGGGCCTGTAGGGATAGGACGAGGGGTAATGGCTTTGAACTGAAAGAGGGGAGATTTCAATTAGATATAAGAAAGAAATTCTTTACTCTGAGGGTGGTGAAGCCCTGGCACAGTGTGCCCAGAGAAGATGTGGATGCCCCCTCCCTGGAAGGGTTCAAGGCCAGGTTGGATGGGACTTTGAGCAGCCTGATCTAGAGGAAGATGTCCCTGCCCATGGCAGGGGGGTTGTAACGAGGTGGTCTTTAAGGTCCCTTGCCAGGGGTCCTGTGCCGGGGCTTCACCACCCTCAGAGTAAAGAATTTCTTTCTTATATCTAATTGAAATCTCCCCTCTTTCAGTTCAAAGCCATTACCCCTCGTCCTATCCCTACAGGCCCTTGTCATAAGTCCCTCTCCAGCTTTCTTGTAGGCCCCTGCAGGTACTGGAACACTGCTGTCAGGTCTCCTATTAGTTAATTGGGAAAAATGTGTGTACCCCAGGGGGTCTGTACAGGTTGCTATGGCTAACACTCACTTTTTCTGGAACACGCCTCCCACGTTTGTGGTCCCAGAAATTGAGCAGGTGTTTTTCCAGCAAAGGCTGCAGGTACTGGCAGTCTGCTCTAAGTTCTCCCCAGAGCCTTCTCTTCTCCAGGCTGAACAGCCCCAGCTCTCACAGCAGAGGGGTTCCAGCCCTCGGATCATTGCTGGGGCCTCCTCTGGCCCCGCTCCAACAGCTCCAGGTCTGTCCTGTGCTGAGGGCTCCAGAGCTGGATGCAGGATTCCCGGGGGGGTCTCCCCAGAGCGGGGCAGAGGGGCACAATCCCCTCCCTCGACCTGCTGGCCATGCTGTTTGTGATCTCACCACACTTCATCTGACCACACAATGAACTGATCGATCTTGTTAATCCAGTAGAAAGTTATTAAAATTTTTTTTTACTTTTTTTTAATAAGCCTGTTTTCTGCTTATCTAGCAAGTTTAAACAGTTCATCATTTCATTAGATGAATACTAGCTGTGGTGTGGGGAGAGCAATAGGGATGGCCACAGGGGCTTTGGGGAGAGCAGGACCTCACAGTCTTGGCAGCAGCATGTTGCTGGTTCACCTCAGCCATGTCATGTAAGTGTGCCCTCAGTGGTAAAGAAAGCATAATGCAGGCGGGTTAGGCAGTGTGGTTTAGGACATGGCTAGGTGATACTTTAGAGCAAATATTAACATTCTTGTGATTGCTGCAAATTTTCTTCTAATAATTTTTCCTCTTTCTATTGCAGGTTCTGATCTAGTGAACAAAACTGCAGTAAGTGTGAACAATATTCCAAATCAGAACACTTTCCATTCCAATGTAAATAATAACATTTTTATATGTCCTCTTTAAGAGTGCCAGCCTTTTTGTTTGCACTTCCCTCTACAACACATGATCCACTAGGTGCAGCGATGAGATGTACTAGGACTTGCTACTTTCATGTCTTGGGCTATGTTTAATGTAGTGTTAAATAACGTGATGCTGCCGGTCTTCTTTGTGAATGGAGTGTTTGGTTTGGTCTTATGCCGTTCATGTTGCGTTCTGTGGGACAAGATCCCAAATCACATGAACATGCCTTCTCTACCTTCTGAGAGAACTTTGTCTGTCAGTCCCATTTTATCTTACTGCTCCAGTCACACAAGTGGGATTTGTACTCTTCTGTCTCCCTCTTTGTAGGATTTGACTTGACTGTAATACGGGTACACGATGGGTAGTGTCTGGAAGACTTTCCATCAGGACCAGCTTCTGGTTTAACAGTATAGTGTGCACAAGAACAAGACAAATATCAGTCAATGTGGTAACAACAGAAAGCAGTTCCTTCGCTGCTGAAATAATCACAGCTCTGTTTGATTCCTCCACTTCCAGTGAAATTGTAGCAACTTTCATCCTCTGAGTATTCTCAGTTTATTATCTTAAGGCTCATTATCTTTAAATATCCGTATCTGCTAAAATGCTCTTTAGACTGTTCTTTTTTTTTAGATCAGTTTGCTTTTAAATGTTGTACATCTGAACACATACAAGATACTATTTATTCTAATAAATCTGTTTGCAATCAGCTATCATAATTTCAGTGTGTCATTGCTAATTCCTGAGTTGCGGGGATCTTCCACTCTTGCTTTCATAGCAAATCAGACATGAGCAAGAGTTTTAAACTGCATATTTCGAAATCTTACTATTTTTTTTTCTTTTCCAACCTTGTGGAAAGAAAAACAGAGCTAGGAACCATCAGAAGTTTGTGGTGCAGGACCTTTAGCCCCTTTCAGATTCTGGCTCCTCTTTGAAAGGACTGTTTGTAATTAATTCTTCACATAATAGCTACTCTGAGCTTGTGTCTCCTACCTGAGGTTCTGCTGAGGCAATTCCATTTTAAAGTTCAACGAGTTCAACCTCTGGCTCGTTGTGTTCTTCCATAGCAGCGTGGTAGATCTTTCCAAAATCTAAGAAGTTGTTAAACCATATATTTTCAGTTTTGACTGTTTGACTCTCTCACCATATGACTACACATCTGTACAGGTTTGTCCTCTGATGCTTATCTCACAAGTAAATATGAAAAATATCTTGTTAAAGTTCTTCTGAGCAAATCCCTTAAAATTCTTACCTCTGACATCTATCTTTTTTGCTGATGTTATACTGAGCTTCAGCCCCCCAGAATGCAGCTGCTGCTATATTACAGGATAAGCAGATGCTGCAACAGAGCATACAGTATAAGATTAGTGGCAAAAAGTCAAAATGATGAATAGGTGGATTTACAAATGTTCATTGGCGTCTAAATTGCAGACAAGGCAGTGGGATTTACCAAAGCATCCAAGCAGATCCAGGAAACTGGATTTCAGTGAAAGTGAGGTACGTTCTTGCAAATGTCATCGAAAATCTGTGAATTTAGCTTAGAAACGCTATTTTTGAATATGGTCTTAAGTGAAGCAGGAACCTAGAATTAAGTTCCTATATCAGGTAGGCAATTTGGAATTTTTTACTCCCCATGACCATGGTGCTATGAAGTACATTATGTTATTCTGACTGGGACGGAAGGATTCTGTAGACCTGTTGCAATCTTTGCAGTGTTGTTATTACATTCACCCCACTTCTACTCTCCACTTTGTATTTGCAGAAGATCATACTGACTGCTGACAGTGGGCCAGAAGAGGAGTTAATTGACAGAACCCTCCCTTTGGAAAACAACAATAACTTGATGTCCAGCACAGAAAACGCATATAGTCCTGATGTGAGTCTGACTGATGTGACACAGAGCAGTGGAAATGCCCCAGAATGCGCTATAGATTCTCGAGTGAGAGACCACACAAATAATCGAATTGGTGAGTCTTGCTTTTTTTTTTTTTCCTTTTGCCTTTTCAGTTTTTCAGCCATGGGCACATAATGTCGTTCTGAGATTACGAGTAAGCTGCAAATGTCCAAAGCTTCTAACAAAGATTGGGGCTGAATCTCCAGAACTTTTGGCACACAAAGTCAGATATATCTGTTCATTTGAATATAATGCTTTCTTATTTTCACTTTTGCTTTAGTCACTTATGAACCTCACAGACAAATGCTCTTCTTCCTCTTTTTCATTCCAGAAGATATAAATTTGCAGAAGAAATTTGAAATCCAAAATATGCCAGCTGAAAATAATGCTGTAATACTTTGAGAGTTGTACTTCACATGTCTCAAGCTATCATTTTCTTCTCTTGGTTTCACAGTAGTAGCTTGAAATGTGTCTCCTGTATGCTCCCATAAAGTCTCTGACTGTGGCACAGGGTAGGAGATAGTCAGGCAAGGAAGCTTACTCACAGGGAGAGAATTGTCACCTGAGATACAGTCTACATGAGACATTCTGGTAACGTTCCCAACCCTGATTCTGAGGTTGTTTGAAGGGGTTTTTTTTTTATATTACTGGCACTGACCTTTCCTTACTAAATGTCCTTTCTGCTTTTTCTGTGAGTGACGGACTTGGGATGAATGTGATGGTTTCACTTACCATACCCAAATGTCTCCAAGCAATTGTGAACAATAACCTACAGTGTCTGATCTGCAGCATCCTTCTGAATAAAATGTAGTTGTCCAAGCCAAAGCAAAGGCCTTATTTACCTTTTGTAAAGGAGTAGGGTCAACAAGTTAGACAGAAGGTTCAAGTCTATCCCAGAAAATTTTGTAGCTGATACTCCGTTGGAAAGAAACTAATTTCTTTGCTGGTCCTATGACCCCAGATAATTACCCAGAATTTCTGTACAGTGCTGATCCTTGCACAAAGGCTGCTTTTAATGCAGGTATTGTTGCTTCTCAAAACAGCAGGAGCATAAACTGTGGATTCTCTATATCTGTCTTCACTGGATCCCGATTAATTGCTTCTTCTAACAGACTCTTGTGAATATCTTACTGCCTTTTCTAATTTGTGCTTCTCCTTGTAGTCCTAGCTATAATGCAGTGGCTTCATCACATGGGAGCTAGATCTACTTGATCTAAAATGCCCAGAGTCCCCTTGACAGTAGTCCAAAGCCAGACAGTGTGGTATAAAATGTGCAGGCCTTCTTTATCAGTATGTTCAGTGCTTTGATTTCAAAATTAAAAGCACCTTATGAATAAACAATTAAATAGACAACTTACAACGTGTGAACTCCAAAAGCTTTAGTGGGTTAGTGAATTCTGTGTTTTCACAGTGATGGGCTTGATCTGCATGCCTCTGATTAAAAAAAAGAAGGGGGGGGGAAGGAAAACTGAGTACCAGATAAAAATTTTGCATGAAAGGGACCATCTCTAGGGTCAGCAGTGATTGTTAACTACACTCAGCACTATTTTTTTCCCTCCTCAGAAAAAATATACATCATGAAGGCCGACACTGTTATTGTGGGGTCTGTTTCGGAAGTGCCTAGTGGCAAGAACTGTGCTGCTAGAGGATGCGAAAGTAATGTTGATGCCCAGGAAAATACAGAAGAGGAACTGGCAATGCACTATCCAGAGCAAGAAACAGAGTCTTTTCCAGGGAATGATGTAATGGTTCCCGTGGAAGAGGAGGGAAAGGAATTTCACCACCCCACCACTGCCACTGAAAAGTGATAACCCACCGAGAAGACGTGTGCAGCTCCAGAAACATCCAGTGTGACACTAAGCCTGAATCTCTGACAAGGGAGGTAAACACATAGTGCCTTAGATTGTCTGAAAACTCATGTAAAACACTGAAACACATTCAAACAAGGAGTGCTAGAATCTGTTTCATCTAACAAATGAGAGGATTTCCCTCTCTCTCCCTGTATCATGCTGGGAACAAATTTGAATCAAAGCTACAAAATTCAGAGGACATCTGGATGCCAGCTCAAGTTTCGCAGCTTGCTTTCCCTGCATGAAGGAATGGATTGAAAACTATGTCTATTAGCTATGAAAATTCTGGCCAGAATTCTGAGTTAGGCTCAAGAACCAACAATGTTTCATGTGTTGCTTCTATTCCAGTATTACCAGTACTTCAAATTTTGTCATATATTTTGCAACATCTGGTATTTTTCTTAAGGCCTCAAATCTTGAATGAAAGTAATGACAATTTCAGTTTTCCCTAACACACACAGAACTCTTCAGTTTGTGGACTTCATGTTTCTTGAGGAAATAGAATCAAAAGGTGCCACACAGGCACAGGAAGCAGAAGGCAAATAAAACTAACTGAAGGCCACTGTACTTTATGCCATTCTTTCTAATTTTTAAGTCTGATTCATGTTTTTTGACTATTTCAAATCATCAGTGAGTATGGCCTCTTCTGGTGGAAGCCAAACCAGCTGAATATTTGGATACTGGATGAACTACGGGTTTAGCCCAGTGCGGACTCTGTAAAAAGGGAAAAGCAGCAAATAAACTAGTTTTCTACAAAAAGGAAGGACTGAATAACAGGCACAGCGGTTATTTCCTATAACATTGTTAATATCTGCATGTTTTAGAATTGCTCGTGATCATCAGAGTGACATTGATTTGCATATCTATTCTTTAAAAAAAATCTGGTTTGTGGTCAACTGGCTTGTGTCGTGCTATTTTTCAGTCTTTCATGCTGCTTGTTTGATAACTGTAAATGTAATAGTGCTGACTAGGTTTTTGCACAGGACAATGGAAAATGAGCAAGATGACAAAGTGTGCCTTAACAGTCAAGAAAAGGAGCCACAAAAACAATTACTTGCTTTGTAGCTTTACCCTGGACAGAGTACTGTAATAACAGCTATGCAACTTCAGCATCTTTTGTCTTAGAACACACAAAAGGAACGTAAGGACATAAAAAACACCTTCTTGGGCCAAACTAGTAGTACGAGTCCAACATTTTATGTCAGTCATGGTAAGAGATGTTATTTAGGAAAAGCATGTAAGCCTGGTTAATATCTGCTGTTTGTATTCCTTGCAGTTCTGCAGTATCAGCTGTAACTGGATTAAGGATGTTAAAGAGTTTGTCGCAGCCTTTAGTGTTCATTCGTATTGCCTTTAATTTTAATTTCCTACTACAATCTGTCTCCATAAACACCTGTGGCAACAGATTACAGACAGTTACCATTCACTGTGTGAAGAGTTACTTTTACCTCTATTTAAACTGACCCATTACTTATTTCAGCCAGTGCCACTAGTTCTTTTGTTACAGAAATTACTGCAATACTGAGTTGTTTTCATGATTCTTGGTTGTATCCTCCTCAGCCTCCAAGCTGAGTTCCCATCTTTTTATATTTCTCATGTAAGTTACATGCTCCACTGCCTTGGCCATTTTAGTTGACCTCTTCCGCATCTTCTCTAACTTCACTACATTCTTCTGGACATCTGGAGTCCAGAACCCTGCACTGCACTGAAGAAGAGAGGTGGGCCAAGGTTTTAAATAGTGGCAGAATGATGCTTTCTATTTTGTTCTCAGTATCTCTGTAGATGATGCCCACCATTTTGTTTGCTCTTTTTGGCTGCCCTTGCACGCTAAGCAGATGATTTCAGAGGAGCATCAAGGATGACTCCAAAATCGCTTTTCTGAGTGATGGCTGCTAGATGCTAATTCAGCACCATGTACGCCTGGTTTAGATTATTTTTCCCTAAATGTATTGCTTTATGTTTATCTATGTAGAAGCTCATTTGCCACCTTTTTATGAGCTCCTTCTGGCTTTAGTTGCCTTCTATGTGTTGTGTAACTACCTGGAGAAGTTTAGTAGAACCTTCACTGCGTGTGCACGCTCTTTTCTCCAGATCATTGATGAAGATATTGAATAGAACTGGCCCCACCAATCCTCCTGCTATCTGTTCTCTATCCTGAAAAATTACCATTATGCTGTGCTCTTTCCTTTCTGCCTTTTAAACAGCCATAATATCCTGTAACCTTGTAGCAAATCCATAAAATTACCTTTCCACCAGTCCTGTGACAACATTGTTTTTCCACCATCTTAGGTATGGAACCTCATCAAAGGCTTTCTGAAAATCACCATATAGTAGGTCCACTGGGTCTTGCTTATTCATTAAGCCTCACAATATAAGGGAAGAAATGTTATCAAGATTTTGTGACTGAAGAAATAAATCCAGATAAATTCATACTTTTCTGGAACCACAGCCACAGAGATGAAGTGGGAGAATCTCAGCACTATGGGATCTGGTCACTGACTTTCATCAGGGGATAATCTACCCATAGTACGTTAAAAACTGGTTGTAATCTCAAATGTTGTGAGTTCCAGTATTTACTTCCTGAATTCCGTTCTTCTCTGCAAGTCCAGAACATAAAATAATTTCTAAAAGCAACTACCACCACTTTATATTTTAGTTTGTCTACTAAGTCTTGCAAGAGAGGCGATTAGTGAATCTTTTCCGTGTACTTCTGTGTTTGTGCTTGTTTTGTTTCATTTGGAAGATAAGCTGCTCCTCATGCTCAGATTGAAATTTCTTTTGGCCATCAGTATCGCTGTCTCAGCGGCAGTTACGTGAGGTGAAGAAGGAAACAGAACTAACAGTTTTTGGTTTAAGTGCTTATTGTGCAACAGAAGGTCAAATCACCAAGTACTGACATAAACCCGCAAATGCAAGGAAGAGGAAAAAAACGTGTAGGACAGATAGTGGTTACCCTTTCCTCACTTCCAGTCAGGGTAGTTCATTGTTTTCCAGTGCGTGCCTTTCATTCTAGAAAAATACAGGAACTTGTGCTTCATTTTCGACACCACCAATTTGTGCATCCACAACGTGTGACTGTGTTCACCTGGCTGCCATTGTTAAGGGGTGTTCTGCGACGCCGGCTCCTTGTGTGTTTCAGCTCTGTGTATAAATTAAGCTTTTTTACTGGAACAGCTTTCTAGATGAGCCACACGCATTGCAACCCGCTAGGTGCGTTATAGTTGTTTAATAACGCTGGTAATCTTGGAATTAAAAATTACACGGACTTCAAAGCACAGCCAGACTTTCCTCTCTGATATGCAAAGCTTTCACTGTTGATCATTCCAGTGCATGTATCAGTCGCAGAAAAAGCATTTTTGCCAGAGGGCTGTTCAGAACTTGGGCAGCGAGCGGCCGACTGGCGCTCATCTCCAGAGCAGGGGTCTGGGTTTGCGTTACGGCCTGCGCACGCCGTCCCGCATACGAGACCCGAGGGCTCCGGCGGGCGTAACGAATGCCAGAATGCTGCAAAAGGCGAGCGCGTATTCTGGGGCTAAACCAGCAGCAATACGGCTAAAGGCCCCTTCCGGCCCCGCCGA